ATGTGTGGTTTCCAGCAAGCATCCACTCGTTCCAGTATTGTCTTAAATTGTCTTGAAGGGCTTTTTGACACCGACGTCCAAAGGTTGTAAAAGACTTGTCATCCCACCCGGTATTACGGCCACATCTGTGTGTGAATTTTTCAAAACCCGCTTAACATTGTCACTTAAGTGAGCCCTAAACGAGTCCCACACAAGGAGATTTCTTTTTCGTAGAAGCCCGCCAACTTTGGTCCAGACGGAGTTCAGCCAGTCTTTTACAAGCGATTCGTCCATCCACCCTTTGGCTTGAGCACGAACATGGATACCCCGTGGCAGCACCAAATCTTTTGGCAGAGTTTTTCGTTTAAACACCACATAGGGGGGAAGCTTCGTTCCATCTCCTAGGCAGGCTAGCATCACTGTGAAACGATCCTATTTTATAGAGAACGATGGTGAAATTTCCTGCAAAGTGACTGGAAAAAGGAAGCACTCGAAAGGCTCACGAGGAGGAATGGCTATTCCGTGCAAGCTGTTTTGGACATCTTCAAACAAGAGACATGTTAAAAAACTTGATGCGCTCATTGCTGCAGAGAAAATCAAGATTCTTCGAAGATATGGACTTCGCGTTTAGTTGTATGTGTTGTAAGTTAGGAACAATTTAAAGCGAACATTAAAACGCCAATTTACTGTACTACAGTGAGTTCTCGTGCATATTAATGAGGTGTCAAAACGCTTGTACCCGCGTATAAGCCGCAACCCCAATTTCGGTCCCATTTTTCCGGGAAAAAAGTGCGGCCTATCCGCGGGTAAATACGGTATTTCACTGGAGATGGTAGGGAAGGACTGGGCAAGGCAAAGGATGCACGTAGCGAGTAAGTATCGCCTAGTCGCAGGTTGGTAGCGAGGAGGTTTAATTTTATTACCAGGAATCGAAGGAATGTGAGTCAAATAAATGGAATTGTTTTGTACTTCCGAAAGGAATAACACACACATTCTTCTACCAGTGCCGTTACATCGCGCATCTGTTCTTTCAGCAGTGTACAAAATTACTGGCAACGAAAGAAAGCGACAGAAACAACTCTGGGCCATTTTTTATTAAATCTTTTTTCGTACAAAGTCCGTTATTTAAAGATAATTTTTAAGCGATTGTTTTGAGGTTTTTTTTGTCCCCATTTAATAAAACTTTTATTAATTTATTATGTATTTAGTACATTTAGAAACTGTTCGCCAGCGGTATTTCAGATAAAAAAGATTTTTTCTTGACAAATGGCAAATATTAAGAATTACTATTGTAATTTACCGCTTTACCACCAGTTTAATCTACCTCAGTCAAAACCATTGAATCAATGTTAGGCCCTCAATGAAAAAGACAGCTGAAGCAACCCGCGCATGCTCTGAACATGCGTCAGTTCTCCATTAATTGCATCATCTTAATACTTGTTAAATACCCTTTTTCCTTATGGCGGTCGTTATTATTATTTAATCAGTCAAGCTCCTAAAACGGAGGACCATGGTTAGATGTAAGACACTGCAGTAGACACCCACAATTTAAATTGAAATCCGGTTCCCAGAAACTTACAATCTCTTAACCCTTTAACTCCCATGAGTGACCAAGACAGAATTTCTCCTTACAATATTAATACAATATTAAGCGGGTAAGTGCTAAGAATAAAGCAAAATATCAATTAGGAAGTTTAAGTTGATCCAATACCAAATTCTCCAATTAACATCATAAGAACTGTTTAGCGTACGGCAAGGAGAGTTGGGAGTAAGCGCGACGGAAGTCCTATATGGTTATTTACAAAAAAAAGAAAAAAAATTGTAGAGGACTTAAGTTTTTCTTTTTAGGATATCATTCCGTGTATATGCACCTTACCGAACGTCCCGTGACTAAGCCTCGTGAGTAACCCTGCCCAATCATACTAATAACTTTGCATTTTGGTTGGTATTGTGTTCGCTCGGGTTTGAAAAAGAAAAAAGCTTGCTTTATCTATCACGACTATCTCGTGTTATCGTTTATGGATGAACTCTGCCATATTTCAACCTGCTTGCTATGAACTGTAGTTGTTGTTTTTGTTGTTGTCTTGTACGCGGGTCATTAATGCAAAGGCGTCTAAGTTTCCCTATTTGCATCTTTAAACGCAAGTCATATCTCTGCAATGAATCACTCACCTATTTCAAATTAGAATGGAACAAGTTGGATCACTGGCTCCTCATTTTGTCAATAAATATAATCACATTTTAAAGATATAAATACAAATCATATGTTGGATTCTCTGGTATTTTCTAGTTTCTTAACTAGTTCGTCGACATTATGATGTTTAAATGAGATAATTGAACCGAAAGAAGATGATGGTCTCTTCAAGTTCTTGTCTTCTCTCTTTTTCTTGGGTTCTTTTGAGGGGTTTTTGTCTTTGTCCAAGTTGAGCCTTCGGTAGTTTTCTTGGAAGCCCAGCAGTATTGGAATACAGCCCGCACATGCTCCAAACATGCACCAGTTCATCCATTCGGTTCCTGAAGATGGAAGACAAGCGATTGACCAAGTCAGAATGTTTACAGAATATTTCCATGTGTGTCGCTGAATTAGTAATAAACCCAAGAAAATCGCAATAAACGGGTTCCGTATCAATCACAAAGGGGACAAAACAGTACGGGTAAGATTGTGAGGAAAAAATTAAGACACTGGCAGAAAACGTGGTAAATAGCGTAGCTATTTCCTCGCTCCCAACATGTTGCTTTGTAATTCAGTTGGTAGTAACGCCCAGCTGGTATTCAGCGGGAACGTGTTCAATTCCCCTCGAAGCCTGATTTTTTTTAGCGATTTTCTCTTTTGTAATTACTTAAAATATAGTTAACTTGTGAAGATCAATTTAATACCAGACAAATTTTCCTCAATTTACTTTTACTTACCGACTTTAGGGACCATCAAGACGAGCAGGAAGATAACAGTAAAAGTGTTATTAATGATAGTCAAAGCTCCTGTGGTGACTCCTTCCGCTACTGGGTAAGTGGACTCTACCGTTAGCTCGTAGAACAGAGGAATAGTACCACTGACGAAAAATCCTCCTAAAATACTGGATTTGTATAGAGCAGCTGAAATATCAAAAGTACCAGACTTGTGATGAGTATTCTTTTTAAAAAATTTCTATAAGTGATCCGCTATCGATGTTCAGTTAATACTCGTCGGTTAAAAAGTAAAGACAAAACTGTTACAACATTTGTCACAGAGGATGAAGTGACAAGGCACTACAACTGTACTACTGTCTTTGTGACAACTAAATTAAGGTCTTCATTCCAAATAATTACATTTGCATTCTTTTACAGACAAAGCTTTTAAGGTTTTCGTTCTTACCGTCATCATATGCTATCATCCTCAGACAAAGAAGCGAGAACCATAAGAAACAACCAGCGGCTCCGAAGAACAGAACGAGCAGAAGGAGTTTCATTTTGCCGCCAAACAGATCTGCGCACCTTGCCAGGATTAAACCTGCTCCGATACCAGCTAATGTGGCGTAAAAACCGATCCAACCCGCCTCGTTCTGAAATAAAATAAGAAAATCGTAAATCAAATGAGAAAGACACACTGGCGTGATGTGTGGCGTGCTGATCAAGAACTTCGCGTTCGTCAAGGTCATTGGGCATACTTTCTCTTTCAGAGCCTCCCTCCATTCAGGAGAATCAATGGATACCAGCTATGGAATGGAATTCCACCTTAGGGGGGCAGCAACGCCCCCTTCTCACTTCACCCAAAGGAAACTGGGTGGGCGCCGGCGGTGTAGACCTCTGGGTTTGCCGAGTGAGTCCTTGACTAGATTTATTAATCAATAATATAAACGCTAATCGGTATCATTCTATTCGCTAGCTCTGAAACAATTAACTAAGCTAAAGATGGGTAGATTGATAGCCCGCTAAGCTATCAGTTTTGTGATAGAGTCGAAACAGCGAGTAGGGGTTTCTCCCGGCTTCGCCACTTGTTTTCACAGCTCCGCAGCAAAGCGCACACAAACCTACTGGCTACGGAGATTAGAAGATGGACTCACAAAACGCTCTGTCTCCCAGGACATCGTTTGACCCACATGAACTCACCTGTCCGACGGAGAAGGTCTCTAGATTAACTGCTAAGGAGGCACCCCAACCACTGTAAACACCTACATATGAAAGCAAAGACAGCTCACTAAATAAAATACTAATCATTGGCGGCGTAAAATTCAGAAATGGAGAAAATCGCTAGTTACTCATCTTTCAAATAAATCAAAACTTGGAAGACAGTCATATTTCACTAGTTTAGGTCAGCATGGAGTAACAAAAACGTGTAACCAGTACCCATTATATAAATGGCGTTAGTTTAGAGCCAAGCGCAGGTTTTCTTGTCACGCCATTTCAGTGACAAGCTTGGTAAAATATTACTAATTGGTGAGAAAACACTACGAGAAATTTTTGACAAGCTCTTATTTCATACGCTATTTAAGTAGGACACAGCATTACGTAAGTCTTGGGGCTTGTGCTTACCAGTTGTGACTCCGTAAACCAGCGCAAGAGTCCAGAACTGCTTGTTCCTGTGTTACAAATAAGGCAAATAATTAGTTTTATCCTTCGATGTTCAGTGCTCGTTGAATATCCACGACTCTTTTGAGTGAATTGGGTTTTTCCTTTACTACTTCCTGGATGCTCGAGTAAATGATCAACTCTTAGACGAACAATCCTCAACAGAGCTAAATGTAGATAGTGAAAGGAAGAATTTTCAGGCCAGTTAAGTGAAGGGAGCACATGCAAACTTGCAATATGCAAGACTACGAGGGGCTTAACGCTCGCACGAAGAGGGAGACAAAAAATAATATATAGATTTAGCCAAGCCTAAAAGCGGAGCTCGCATTTTTTTTTCCCTCACGTCTCAAGGGCGCAACGCCCTTTTCGGCTTGATGGGTTACTTCTATTTTGTATAATTATGGGGCTACGCTCTGCGAGCTCCGCTATGAGCGGAGTACAAGTGGAATAGAGTAAATACGAAAACAGAGCGCAGTGTAGGGTTTAACCCTTAACATCAGTATGCAAATTCTCAATACTGTTCTCTGAGGTGCTGACAAGGAGAAGTTGTTTTACTAATCAAGAGTCCCTTTGTTGGCGATCATTTCCTTTGATCTTGTGATTTTAAAGAGCGATTCACGGGTCATACTGTTGGGAGAAATTAGATGATTATCACTCTTGGGAGTCAAAGGGTTAAGAACCGGGAAAGTAAGAAAAAGGTGGTATCTTACTTAAATATTTGTTTGGCGCCGGCGAAGAAGTCTTCTCGTTTTCTTCTCGCTGATTTACTTGGTGGTAGAGGAGGTTTGTTTGGGAAGTACATACAGACTAACAGGAAAAGAAAAAGAACAACGCCACATTCTGTAAAAAGAAAAAAAATAATATGATGAAATTAGCAAATGTACAAGCTGGCTTGATAAAAAATAATAGACGCTGATTTTGTAAACTGAGGCTAACTCACCAACATATAGTAACATCATTATTTCTTTTTTTCCGTCCTTGAGTAGTCGCTGTTTAGCTGGAAATAAGAAGGAACAAAGTAATGAAACAAACATGTAACAGTAGTGTTCAAAATAAAAGTAATGATGACGATGATCACAACAATTGTAATAATGGTAAAAGTAGTAGAAAAGAAATACGGGATTGAAACAAACTTAATGACTAATGCCGGTTTTTCCTTTATTTCTGTCGGATATTAAGAACATTACAGTTCATTTCTGACAAAATACATTTTGTGATAACAACGCGGAAGAGGTTTCCACGAACAGGAGATCAGCACTAAAACGTTTTAGATGGACGAGGACACCGTCCAGCACTAACGCCGAAAACACGAGTCGTGGTCGCTTAAAATTCCTTGCTATGCAAGACAATTCCTTGCTATGCACCACAGTAATATGCGATGCTAACTTCTGGAAACAAAGGCAAACTTTGACAGGCATCAGCAAATTTGCGTGTTTCACAAACCTCTCAAACTTCCGAAACTGATTGACAAGTAACCGTGTGCAATGCCAATACTAAATCGAGAAAACAGGTCGTGGAGCTTAACAGACTGGACAGATGAAGGTTATCATATTGATGTAACACAAAACTCTCCTAATGATTTTACAGGGTCATGTATCTGAGCTGGAGGGGAGGGTGACAAATTTGACCCTTGGAGTCAAAACTACTGATAAGAGTCGAAACACACCTTCCTCTAAATCAGGAGTTATCCCGATGCCTGCAGTTCGTTGATAAATAGCTTCAATTTCCCTGGGATGAAGCTTTCTTTCCCACACTGCTAACTCGTCATACGCAGCTTTTGAAAAAGCATAGACATTATTTGGTCTTCCGAGAGTGAACATCGTGAAATAACTCCTCTCGAGTTGGGTGGTTTTCCCCTTTGGGTCCCCACCCACATAAGAACCATTCGAGTAAATCACAAGTCCTTCACGCTCGTCCCACGTGAACGTCACGTGCGTCCAATTGCTACGTGGCACGGAGAAGCTTCGTTTCCATAGCACCGTGCCGTTTTCTACTTTAATGGCCAAGTGGTCTTCCTTGTCGTAAGGAAAATCTTGATAAATTAAAAATCCTTTAAGACCATCTCTGTTTCCGCTGGTCCCCATGAAATACTGCAGACCGTTAGCGTCCAAGATTTCATATTTCATCCACAGCGCAACGGTAAAACCATTCGGGCACAGGGACGGGTCACTCACACAAGTGTTTATAAAAGGGCCAAGATTTACCCAAGCGCTTTTACCGTCAGTCATTAAACTCTGATTGACGACACCTTGTTCAGTGGTGCATTCATTGAATAAAAGTCCCTCCTTGTTCGTTTTAAATTCCCTGAGTCCTTTGTTGATTGTAACTCTCCCATACTCTTCGGGATTTCGTAAATTGGTGCTATTTTCCTTCCTCTCTTTTCTGATGGATTGGACATTTTGAATGCTGATGTTCAGATTGTCCAAAGGCCAATAGTACATAGCATCTCGGTATATAGATTCTAAAAGCCAACAAAATAAAAAAAAAGTTAATTCAAAGAATGCTCCTTCGGGCTACCACTGAGAAGGATGAAAAAAAGAGTTATTGTCTTTGAGTAATTAGGCTTTATCGTTTGTCACTCGATGTAATGACTTCCAATTAGGATCGCGACGTTCCGACTGCTTAGTGCAAGTTCCCGGCTTTCAGGCGATGAAGTCGAATGGTTTACATAGGATGACTCTCGACTCTTAAAACCCTGAGAATTACAAGCATCTAATTTCTCTTTACTTTAAATCTTCTGATTGTTAACTTTAAACTTGAAAATCAAGTTAGCTCACACAAAGTTTTTAAAACTTTGCAAAAAACCGATTCATGTTTTGTTGATAACAACTATCCTGTCTTGCCGTTGAGCAGTTTCGTTTCTTACCTGAATATAAAGTGTTTCCATTGAGGTACAAATCTAAAGTATCACTATAAAAATCAAACCAACAAAAAGGATATTAAAGTCTGTTTAAACACAAAAAATACTTCTTAATAAATTTTAAACATGAAGCTATCGATGAATGGCTCTAGAGCTAAGAAAATTTGGAGACGAAATTTTATTTATCAAAAGCGAGTGAATAGAGGTATGTAGTGAGAATTTTTGGTTTAATTGCGAGCTCTCCTTTAGGTACTCGATGCACAAACCAAATAGACAAATGCCTACAAAACATAAAAAAATATTGGCCAAAAATTCTAAGCTATCTCTATCAGTCTATACGCAATAAAGGCTTACAAAGAAAGCTTTAAAAAATTAA